AAAATACCCACTGATTGTAAGACAAGCTAGATATGTGAACACAAATCCTGTATCAGGTGTAATTAAACATGAAATTATAAAACAATTTTAGTGGTCAAAAGACACATTAATTTGTACAATTCAACAATACTTCTATGGCAAGCAAGCCCTTTAAAATCCGTCCACATTCTCCCAAATGATCATAAAAGTAAAGTCATTAAGAAATTCCAGCAGAAAATCAACGCATATTGTTTTAAGCGCATTTATGGCTGTACATTTAAGGAGTATTGCACACCCCTTCAGCAAATTAAGCCAAATGCGACTTCAGAGACGTTTATGAGATGATGCATCATAGGCCTATCAGAGGAAAGATAGCTTGGGACACAGTCTTACATACTTACATATTACCATTGCAATTTGCCAAAGAGTAAATACCTTTTTGTTCAGGGAACAAGTAACAGGTACAAGATGTTCCTTAGATTGTGTGTTCTTTTTTTATCAGGAGATCTATTAAAACCTTAAGGACATTTTGTTCCGAGATGTTTTGATTGCAAAACAGATATTTGTATAGATATGATCAGAACAAACAGCTATCAGGTGAAAGAGGAAGTACAAACAATAGTGGCAAATACTGACAGGTCTTTATGCTGCAAAAAAGTACATGCAGTTTGGTTGATGATATTGAAAATAATTAAGAATAAGAAAATAATTCTTAACTCATTATCAAGCCTCTTTACTTGGTACACTCTTTTGCATTGGTGGAGATAATAAGTTAAATTGGCTTTTCACACAAGGCACATTTATGAGTGGTCATGGATTGTGGCCATCTCTAAAAGCCGAGTCTCATATTAATTAGACATTTGAAATTAGACAACATTAAAGTGTAATACTGTTGCTGTTGGATATGTTCAGGGAGGACAGAGAATTGCTGCCCGTGTTTCTAATCAGGTGTGATTAGGTTTTTGAGTGTACTGTACAGGTGGTGGTCAAAAAAGGTATTTAAAGCAGTGATGTGCTTTTCTTCTGCCCACATGTTGGTTGTTCTGTTCCAGTGATAGGGAAGTGTCAGTGTTTTTGAATGTGAAACTTGGGAAAGGGCCAAAAGAAAATGTTGCAAGTTTCACAATCACAATAATGCCCAACCTATGTTTGTTATAAAGACAGCAGGAGTAACACAGACCCAACACCTTATGTGCTCCCCTTGGCTGATATAAAACGTACTTACGGATTACAGACAGCATGAAATATTCATATAACTCTTTCTATCTAAAAGCTAACTTCAACGCTCAGACTCCTCACAAGGACACCCATTGACTAACATTCAACAGGACATCAACATGACCTGGTAACCTCTGAAGCAAATGAACATGCTGCAAATGTTTAACTTCCCCTGTGTTATGAAAACTAGAGCAAACATTACAGCCACCTGTGGCTAAAGCTCGGGGTCTGACAGATTTGTGGCCAATATTGCTCACTTAATGAAGTTTATGGGAGGTGGTCGACTTCATCTGCGGGTATTAACACCATACTGTGCAGTCGTGACCTTAAATTAATTAACAGCAGGCAACACTGCTGACAGCCCCACACAAAAACTAACCCGCATTGGTTGAGTTCATCCAGCCGATGAAGTCACATCCAACTACTTGCAAGGTATACTGTATGCAGAGCTTCATCAACAAGTAAGTCAGCTAAAAAATATATAGCCAACTATTTTGATAATTGTTAATTATAATTTTTCATGCAGAAATGTCAGAAAAGGCTTCTTTCACTCTTTTACATATGATGATTTCCTGCCTTTCTCTATTTTATATCATGTAAAACTGAACACCTTGTTTTTTTAACTTATAAGAGGACATTTTTTAAATACAAGTTTAGCTGAGAAATTCTTGTTCACCAAAAGGTTTTATGGTAAATGTCCAATGTTTATGAGCTTTTTCAATAGCAATGTTGTGTGGGAAGATTCAAGATACAAAATGTCTTCAAACAAGTTGTCATTAATCTGCTCATCACAACCAAAAGTGAATACAAGCGATGCCATTTTTAATGTCACATTTTTTTGTGGAGAAAATGAAAAACAAAAATCCAATGTTCACTTGACAATAAATGCACATATACACATCGTATTCCTTTTACTGTTGAACAATGAAATACACAGTCATCAGTATTACCAAAGTCCATTTAGAAGCAAGGGACATGATCTTGATGGGGTTTTCCACATTGCTGGCCCTATCTCAACAGGTCCATAGAAAATGTCATGTTTCATCATACTCCATTTCACTAGCAGCCAAGCCAGGGATCCTCTCGGGTTTTCCTGGATATGAAGGTCATTTTCCTGCCCATTTCTGTTGAGTAGATCCGCCTGCAGGTCTCAAAGCTCCTCCGCTGACGCTCTCGGCAGGGCTTCTCGTAGTACCGCTTGAGCTTCACTGTTTCAATAATGCCGTCCTGAGTCAGGAGCCTGGGGTATGTAGAGAAAACATGTGAAGAGCTCACACTTGGGGTTCCATTCAAGAACATTTCCAACAGGTGTGGTGGTGTGGCTGCTGGTGAAATCGAGAGAAACAAGCCAGCACGCGGCAGATACAGCATGTGCACGACATTCTAGTATGCAAATCAAAAGCATTTGGCCTGCTTAACGGTTAAGTTACAATACTTATGTTAGAATTAACTGCATGATGTCTTTCTGCTTGGGGTTTTTCATATTATTGACCTCACTCGTTTTACAATTTTGTTATTTTTTATTAGTAGCCTACCTAGCTGTAGTCTTTGCTGTTACTCTTTTCGCTGCTATTTGTCTGGCTGTATTTTGAGAGCAACACAATAAAACACTGCACATTAAAACTGATTATGAATATGTTTGTGTCTACTTTCATGTAAAGTTGTTTTTTATTTCTCAAAAAAATACCCACTGATTGTAAGACAAGCTAGATATGTGAACACAAATCCTGTATCAGGTGTAATTAAACATGAAATTATAAAACAATTTTAGTGGTCAAAAGACACATTAATTTGTACAATTCAACAATACTTCTATGGCAAGCAAGCCCTCCGTCCACATTCTCCCAAATGATCATAAAAGTAAAGTCATTAAGAAATTCCAGCAGAAAATCAACGCATATTGTTTTAAGCGCATTTATGGCTGTACATTTAAGGAGTATTGCACACCCCTTCAGCAAATTAAGCCAAATGCGACTTCAGAGACGTTTATGAGATGATGCATCATAGGCCTATCAGAGGAAAGATAGCTTGGGACACAGTCTTACATACTTACATATTACCATTGCAATTTGCCAAAGAGTAAATACCTTTTTGTTGGATACAAAAATAAAATGCTGTTACCTGCAGGAGCCTGAGGCAAATACTTTAATAGCTACCAAGGTTGCTTACAAAACAACAGCCATATGGTCATGATGATCATAATGTCAAATGATAATTAGTTTTATTTGTTCAGGGAACAAGTAACAGGTACAAGATGTTCCTTAGATTGTGTGTTCTTTTTTTATCAGGAGATCTATTAAAACCTTAAGGACATTTTGTTCCGAGATGTTTTGATTGCAAAACAGATATTTGTATAGATATGATCAGAACAAACAGCTATCAGGTGAAAGAGGAAGTACAAACAATAGTGGCAAATACTGACAGGTCTTTATGCTGCAAAAAAGTACATGCAGTTTGGTTGATGATATTGAAAATAATTAAGAATAAGAACATAATTCTTAACTCATTATCAAGCCTCTTTACTTGGTACTCTTTTGCATTGGTGGAGATAATAAGTTAAAATTGGCTTTTCACACAAGGCACATTTATGAGTGGTCATGGATTGTGGCCATCTCTAAAAGCCGAGTCTCATATTAATTAGACATTTGAAATTAGACAACATTAAAGTGTAATACTGTTGCTGTTGGATATGTTCAGGGAGGACAGAGAATTGCTGCCCGTGTTTCTAATCAGGTGTGATTAGGTTTTTGAGTGTACTGTACAGGTGGTGGTCAAAAAAGGTATTTAAAGCAGTGATGTGCTTTTCTTCTGCCCACATGTTGGTTGTTCTGTTCCAGTGATAGGGAAGTGTCAGTGTTTTTGAATGTGAAACTTGGGAAAGGGCCAAAAGAAAATGTTGCAAGTTTCACAATCACAATAATGCCCAACCTATGTTTGTTATAAAGACAGCAGGAGTAACACAGACCCAACACCTTATGTGCTCCCCTTGGCTGATATAAAACATACTTACGGATTACAGACAGCATGAAATATTCATATAACTCTTTCTATCTAAAAGCTAACTTCAACGCTCAGACTCCTCACAAGGACACCCATTGACTAACATTCAACAGGACATCAACATGACCTGGTAACCTCTGAAGCAAATGAACATGCTGCAAATGTTTAACTTCCCCTGTGTTATGAAAACTAGAGCAAACATTACAGCCACCTGTGGCTAAAGCTCGGGGTCTGACAGATTTGTGGCCAATATTGCTCACTTAATGAAGTTTATGGGAGGTGGTCGACTTCATCTGCGGGTATTAACACCATACTGTGCAGTCGTGACCTTAAATTAATTAACAGCAGGCAACACTGCTGACAGCCCCACACAAAAACTAACCCGCATTGGTTGAGTTCATCCAGCCGATGAAGTCACATCCAACTACTTGCAAGGTATACTGTATGCAGAGCTTCATCAACAAGTAAGTCAGCTAACAAATATATAGCCCACTATTTTGATAATTGTTAATTATAATTTTTCATGCAGAAATGTCAGAAAAGGCTTCTTTCACTCTTTTACATATGATGATTTCCTGCCTTTCTCTATTTTATATCATGTAAAACTGAACATCTTGTTTTTTTAACTTATAAGAGGACATTTTTTAAATACAAGTTTAGCTGAGAAATTCTTGTTCACCAAAAGGTTTTATGGTAAATGTCCAATGTTTATGAGCTTTTTCAATAGCAAGGTTGTGTGGGAAGATTCAAGATACAAAATGTCTTCAAACAAGTTGTCATTAATCTGCTCATCACAACCAAAAGTGAATACAAGCGATGCCATTTTTAATGCCACATTTTTTGTGGAGAAAATGAAAAACAAAAATCCAATGTTCACTTGACAATAAATGCACATATACACATCGTATTCCTTTTACTGTTGAACAATGAAATACACAGTCATCAGTATTACCAAAGTCCATTTAGAAGCAAGGGACATGATCTTGATGGGGTTTTCCACATTGCTGGCCCTATCTCAACAGGTCCATAGAAAATGTCATGTTTCATCATACTCCATTTCACTAGCAGCCAAGCCAGGGATCCTCTCGGGTTTTCCTGGATATGAAGGTCATTTTCCTGCCCATTTCTGTTGAGTAGATCCGCCTGCAGGTCTCAAAGCTCCTCCGCTGACGCTCTCGGCAGGGCTTCTCGTAGTACCGCTTGAGCTTCACTGTTTCAATAATGCCGTCCTGAGTCAGGAGCCTGGGGTATGTAGAGAAAACATGTGAAGAGCTCACACTTGGGGTTCCATTCAAGAACATTTCCAACAGGTAAATGTTAATAGCTAATACTAAAGACTCAGTCAGCCCATTCAACTGAAATGTAAAAGTAGTGCATAGAAAACGTTCAATGGATTTATAATTTTCTCGTAATGTTTACACATTTATTTTTAAAGAACATAATCAAAGCTAGGACAGCATCGAGACTGCTTTCATCGACCACTACTTTCCATGAAAATTATTTTTTATTTTAATTGATTATTTAAACTTTACCTATCAGATGTGTTTATTGAACAACTCATGGAGGAATTTGATATTTTAAACTCTAGTTTCAATGTGAGATTGCTGTTATGCTCAGTCGAATTTCTTGGCCATGATATAGTACGACACAATGTCATACATTGCTAGTATGGTGATTAACATGCTCTAGACTTGAAACACCTTTAATGAAGTGTTGACGTTATCCTCATTACCTCTTTGTCTAACTCACAAAATCCCTAAAAACATCTAAAAACGTGTATAAACAATATTATGCTCTCCTTAAAACGACTGCGCAGGCGCAGCTCTGTGACATTGAGCGGAAGGCTAACGTTAACTTAGCTAACATTAGCTTGTCGTCGAATAGATAACAGTTGTCTTTAAAAAATGTTTCATATTAAAAGCATGAACCTGACCTGGTTAAAGTCTTGTACGCCTGTTCAACGTTGAGGTCTTGGACCATCACTGTCCGCGAAATGAAACGAAGGTGCCTCGACATTATGAATCCGGTGCTTGTATAAATCCAAACCGACTGGAAACATGCACGAACAAAGGTTCCGGATCCAAGAAAACCCAAGATAAACAGTCTTTGCCCTAAATCAACGCTAGGGGACGCTTTACCCATGTTCGTGAATTACCTTTGTCATTTGTTGAAGTTTACCATAGGAGTTTACCTGTCATTGTTATTTTTTTGTCGAATACTCCAGATGCCCAACAATAAATATACAAAGGAAACAAAACAAAACAAAATAGAACAATGAATATACGTCATCACACATAATTAATTATTAATTAATTATAATTACACAAACAGTAGTTTGGAGTTTACATATGAGTTTCCCCTACATGTTACATGTTATTTCTTGAACATATAATTTATGTTTGTATGTATGTATGTCTATATGTATAATTGTATATGAACATACATCAGCTCAATTATTCAGTGTATTTATACTAAACTTCATAATTTCCTAAATACCATAATATTACATTGTGTATAGGTTCTATCTATACTATACTTTTAAATATAATTTCATATTGTTGTTTTAGAGATGGGGGGCAATAATGGTAGTCACCATGTATGAATGCTGAGGCCTTTGCAATGTTCCCTCCCCAAAGCACAGGGAGCCACGGCAGTTATCGTAGTTTTTATAAAGGGAGATTGCTTTCAGGGGAATCACAGATTATGAAACTACATCCGTTGTCATAGCAACAGGGACAGCAGTGTCCAGTGTTATCCTTTCACCAGGGCCATTCTCCTCTTCTTCTTCCCAGCCATGAGCTGCTGTTGTCCTCTGTGTATTGAAAGTCTGAGGCCAGCCAGTGGTTAATAATGCCCTGGATGGTATGCCTACTTTGCATTCAAAAGTGCTTTTAGATTTCCCCTCTGTATAAAATACCCGGTGAGGTTAATCCCTGTGCTGTAATAGGGGACAGTATCTGGATGGTGCCACGGGGAGGAATGCTTGAGACAATCCTGCGCTGATAACATCATGCCTCCTTTTGTTGGATGAATGCCCTGCATCATGTTTCCAGAGGTATCTCTTCTGATCCACACCTGATGAAATATTCTTGGCAGTGTTTGAGCGCATGCGTTGGAGTAAGAAAGAACAGAGAGAGACTCAATAACATAAGGAAAATTAAGTGCACATAAAGGCTCTGACAATTACTTTTTGTACACATGGGGTGCTATTACATCAATAGTACTTGAGGGGAACATTTAAAAAAATGTACTTATTTTTTCTAATTTACCAAAATCAGACATGGCCATAAACAGTTACAAATATATTGAGACATTGATTTAATAATTTGTGCACATGAGCACACTTCTTCTTCACCTCAATTTAATACATTTGTTTCTATGTTTTGGCAGTGTGCAAGGCCAAGTTATTCATTCCAAGCACAACCTGCCTAACATGTTTGTCCTTGGTTGATAGAGACTTTCTCTAGTTTGGAGAGACGTTATCAAGTGATGTTGACGACACCTGCTTTGAAAGGGAATATTATAGATAAATGGCAACTAACAAAAGCATTGATATCCTGTGTTCGGCCTTCGAACAACTGACCCTACAGCTATTTTTTCAGATGTTTTTAAATGGGTTGGTTTAATTAAAACATTGCGCTGGGGAATTTTTTGTTTGATATTATGTTGCTAGGCTAGCAACTGGCACAGTTAAGTTGAAATTGTTACATCCACCATTTTGGTCACACATACAGGAATACAAATACCGTCTATTTGTTGTGACTTAGCATCTTTATCCACCTTTAGCATGCCCTTGTTGTACTACTATCTGTCAGACTCCACTTCTTACAGCTCTTTTTGACTGTTTAAGGTATTTTATTAAGTGCTAACCAAGCTAGCATTGTCAAAGCTGCCTGAAGCTAATGTGTTGCTAGCATAACATTACAGTTTCTGTTGGACTAACAGTATTGTATTTGTACTTTTGTGGGTGTATATTGACTAGATAAATGACTGTGCTGTATTTGGCAGAAGACATTTATTTTGGTTTTACAACATTTAATTTAACACACTTTTTCTTGTTTTGAAATCATAATTTATTTGTATATTTAAAAACATGTATTTTATCATTCTTTAAAGGTAGGGTAGGTAAGTTTGAGAAACCGGCTCGAGATACACTTTTTGTTATATTCCATGGAATGCTCTTAACATCCCGATAGCAATGAATATCTTGAGTGCTTTGACAAAAAATCCATAAAAAATGTCATCTGTGGAAGCCGTAGTACTGTAAAAAGCACGACCAATCATTTTAGCCGACCCGGCTAAAATAACTGGATGGCCTACCTGCCTGTCAGCCTTCCATCGGGGCACAAACTTATCTCGTGCCCTCATTGGTCATGTGCGCGTTCGTGTGTGTTGGAGGAGGGGCTCTATAAGGAAGTGGTAGATTTTCTCCGGTTGTGTATTTTCAAATTCTAGCGATCTCGAGCCGGTTTCTCAAACTTACCTACCCTACCTTTAACAATGCGTGGATGTCCTGAAAATACCAATTTTAATGTGAATTGTAATTTGAGAGTAATAGAGGAGGGATCCGTTTCACCTCAATGAGAATGTAAACAGTGGCTTAGGTCTCTGTTTGTTTACAAACTTAACATTTAGACCTGAGATGTAACTCAATTCAGATAAAGCAGTAGTGTTGGGAAATGAGCGTGTACTCTACAATTAGCCAACAATGAATAAACTAGACTGATGTGTCTCTCTTAAAAGTTTTAATTCAGAAAAGATGCTGATGGTACCTTCCTGGATAGATGCCTCCAGCTGTAACTCTTATCTTTTTGCTCTTTCATTACCAGCTTTGCAACCCCCCATTCTGAAAAAATAAATTAACCCTGATATCTGATTTCACATTCCAGATCTGATATCTTAACACATGTCTTAAGATGAGAGTGAAAAGTGTCATCGTTTTGTATTGAATTGCCAAGTTATTTAGGTTGTATTACCTCTTATTTCTCAAATCACTGGGACAATTCACTTGGCATCAACCTGAGAAAAAAATCAATTAACACTTAATGTCGGAGCCTGGCTGCTCATCAACATCAAAGGACTTACTGGAAGTGCATTTTCCAGCATGGTATCAAAATCTTTCACCATGCTGACAGGAGTGGAGGGTAGTCAGGACCAGGGGGAAAGTCCCTCCCTGTCCCCGGCCTCTGCATTGGCTGGACCAGCATCAGATCCAGGAGAGCTGTCAGCCAATCAGTGCAGCGCAGATGCAGACAGCGGAGACTGCTCTACTACCCGGTTAACCGAGGGGACAGACAGACACACAGACAGAGAACCGGAGAGTCTGCAGACACTATCGACGTCCAATCTGCAAACATAATGGAAACGGAGAAGAAAACAGATTTCTCAGGAAAATGGAAAATGAAGACTTCACAACATTTTGAAGAACTTTTGAAAGCTCTGGGTAAGAAATGCATTTAAAGCACGTTATGCAGCCTATACACGCAGATTTTTTATTTAATTTGCTTAAAAAATGCCAAGTAAAAATCTTTCTCTGTAGAGGTCTATACTGCTTTTTACTTAAGTAAAAGTGTTAATGCCAGTGTTTAAAAATACAATTAGATGTCTTCCAGTCAACGTTGTGAAGGAAAAGTACAGAATTATTTAAAAAATACCATAAAGGCCCGTTTTAGAAATAAATATTATGATATTATGATTATTGATTCATTAATGTTTTCATCACTTTAATGTTGCAGCTGGTAAAGCATTGGTATATATTTTGCCTATAAACTGCAGATTAGCTTGTGAATTTCACAGAGGGATCAACAAAGTGTATCTTAACAGCAAAACATGATACAATATGTGTTCCTTGTATTTTGGGTAATTCATCTGTAACTCAAATTGTAAAAAAAAAATGTAGTCAAATAAAACATACAATATTGCCTCTGATTTGTAGTCAAGAAATAAGTGTGAGGTAGCCAGAACTTGAAGTGATCAACTGAAAATAAGTAACTCCACTTTTCGTCAGGTACAGTATTTGAGTACATGCATCCCCTTGTTTTCCACCTTTAGTTGAAAATGCTTTGCAGGCTAAATGTAAATTTGATGCCAGTTTAGAGTCAGGCATCATATTGTTATCCAGTTTATCATCAACTATTCTGCTCCTTTGTTAAAATGCAAAAGGGAAAGGGAAGCATCTCCTGCACAAAGACCTGTCAATCTTGCTGTCAGTGGCATTATCTCCTGGAAATCCACTTTGCTAACAGGAGGTCAACTGGAGAACCAAAGTGGTCTAAAGTGTCTCTCTGTGGTTAAACTGGTTTGCTCCAGCCCTCCTTACATGTGATTATGGGAATATTGGTCTTGTTAAGCTATATGAGACAGTATGGATGGCAGTTATGAGAGAGCGCAGGAGATGGAGAGGTCAGGCCAGGGCCAACCAGTGGCATCCATTAAAAATCTGAAGACAAATAGCCTGTGGAGGAATGCTAGATTAGACTCATCTGAAGCAGGGTCCTCCTCATGCGGTTGTAATTAGAGCCAGTGTAAACGGAACTAAGCCTCAACATGGGCCCCAGCAGCCAGCCGGATCTGAGACTGACTTTCCTTCACTGCCTTGGGCCTCCCTGACCCAATCTAGGGCTGTGTGGCTGTGTGGCTGTGTGGCTGTGTGTGTGGCTGTGTGTGTGGCTGTGTGTGGCTGTGGCTGTGGCTGTGTGTGTGTGTGTGTGTGTGTGTGTGTGTGTGTGTGTGTGTGTGTGTGTGTGTGTGTGTGTGTGTGTGTGTGTGTGTGTGTGTGTGGTGTGTGTGTGTGTGTGTGTGTGAGTGTGAGTGTGAGTGTGAGTGTGAGTGTGAGTGTGAGTGTGAGTGTGAGTGTGAGTGTGAGTGTGAGTGAGAATATGTATTGCCGCCTCGAGTACCACCCCATGAGAAAATATGGTCTTTACTAAATCAGATTTGTGGGGTAGCCTTGAGCTTTATGTGGCATTCCAGTTCACATCGATAATTTCAAAAACCTAACCATCAACGGACGGACGTTTACATTTTTTTTACATTCCTAAAACATCACATCTCTTCCAATCCAGCACCAACACATGGATAAATTAGAGAACGGCCCTACCACGCTCAAGATCCCAAGGGGCTAGCGCACCAGGGCCAGAGCGGCTCTTTGAATCATGTCCCATGTCATGGCCATTTCTACTGATCATAATTCCATTGTTGAGGTATACTAGAATAGATTTATATTGTGCAATTTTCCAAACTCACATTGGTTTCTCATACAGCCTCTGTATAGTATGTGTATTCACTCTCTGTCCTAAACTGCTTGTTGGAGCTCCTGCCCACCCCCCCCCCCCCCCCCCCCCCCCCCCCCCCCCCCCCCCCTCCCTATGAGCCTACTGTGCTCTGATTGGTCAGCTCGCCCACTATGTTCTGATGAGTCCACTACCGTTACAGCGGAACATCAGTGATTATATATTATGTGTTACAATGGCGTTAGCAACCAGAAAATGACACCAGTAATGACAAACAGATGAGAATGCTGCGTGGGGTCTGGGTGCCGTGTTGGCGGGACGTTGCGCGGCTCGCTGCTGCGAGGAGCAGACAGTGAGAGCTGGGTTCATTTCCTGCTTGCTGCGTAGGGTCTGCGAGACAGCGAGACTTCGCGAATGGACGCGGGAAGGGGGGGGTGCTGAGGGTGCTGCAGCACCCCCCCCGCACCCCCAAACGCGGCGCACCTACAGTGTAAGCGCGCCACAGTTTCGCCGCTGCGAGGCTCCACTAGCACCCCCCAGCGCGTCACAGAGTTTCGCCACTGAGAGAGTGTGTGTGTGTGTGAGGACCTCCACGGATTGGTTCATTTGGACCAATGGGTCCATTTGGGTATGGTCACGTCACTGTACCCAGGAAGAAAAAGAGAAATCTCCAACGAGGCGTTCTGGGGCAGCATAGGCAGGTCTTTTCTGTGTTAAGAGTTTTACTCGCTACAGGGTGTACTTTGAGGGTTTGTGACTTTGCACACCGTTTACATGCATAAAAACCTTCATAACACACAAGGGGACGGGTAATAACCGGAAAAGCATGACATGGGACCTTTAAGTTCATTTAGTAGAGCAAATAAAAGTCAGCGTGCAGAGACTTGAAACTAGGAAACACAATGAACAGTTCACTGCCATATTTTCTTTTCATCAGTCTTATGTTATCATTGCGGTGTAATGTATGTGACAGACTGCTATGAAAAGGTTATGACTGCCAACAAGCATTGTTTTCATAACCTTTGTTGTGGGAAAAGCAAACTGAGAATAATAAGCAAACGCAGTTGTTCATTTGGTTATTGCTTGTGTTGTAAAGGCTGTTGTGAGACTTTCAAATATCAGATGTCATAGTTTCAAGGTCCGCCAAGCAAGGGAAATTCCTTGCTCGCAGCTGCATTACCTTAGAGAAATAACCTAAAAAGTTGGTGAAAGATTAGTTTTGATGATTTCAAGATTGCTTTCGAAGATTCAAAGGCTTTATTGTCATATACACAGTAGCTACACTGTAGATATGGCAATGCAAATATTAAGTCCCAGGCTCCTCGAACAATGCAACATAAATATATATAAGACATAAAACAATTAAACAAATATAAAAAACAATAAAATAGTGCAAGAAGAAACAGAGTGGGATAAAATAGTGCAAGATGATCTTTTGCATGCTTTACTTCAGTTGAGAAATCAGAGTAAAAACCTCAAATCTGCCCTGGATGCAGTTTTGTTATTTGGGCTATCACCTACAAAACCACTCATATCCACTTTATATTCTTTGCACTCAACACAAACCAATATAGGTGATGTTTTCGCAACTAACAGGATTTCTTTCCATTTTGTGTGTGACCAGGTGTGAATATGCTCCTGAGGAAGATTGCGGTGACAGCGGCCTCCAGCCCGGCAGTGGAAATCACCCAGCAGGATGACAGTCTGTCCATCAAGACTTCCACCAGCGTCCGCACCACCCACGTCTCCTTCACCGTGGGCCAGTCCTTCAATGAGGCCACAGTGGATGGACGTCCCTGCACGGTACACATTCCTGAATAATATCAATGCATGCATACCAGCATTTGGCAAGCTATGCGCAGAAGAAACATATGGAAATCATTTTGGTGCAACTCTAGAGTCAGCCCTGGTGATAGTACATGGATCTGTTCTTCATCAAACTTTTTCCGAGTGATTGGTGAAGGACAAATTCCTGACAGGCCAAAAAAATGTCTGATATGTAGAAATAGGCACGCTAAGCTCCAGTTATAATGAAAGAAAAGCAACTCTTATGACTTTATAGGCACTTGAATTATTTATATTCTGCGTTCTTTGAATCCCTGCAGAGTTTGCCTAAGTGGGAAACAGACAGCAAAATAAGCTGTGAGCAGACTTTACAGAAAGGCGATGGGCCCAAGACATCGTGGACTCGAGAGGTAACCAACGATGGAGAACTGATACTGGTACGTATTTCTGGTAATTATTGTGTATAAAGCACCGATACATGACCTTATAGATTAAAATGATTATCAATTAGCTTTACAAAACAAAACACTGGTTGAGAACTTTTATAGATCATCTATAAGCCATAAATAAGAACAACTTTTATTGTTTACGGTCATGTTAGATATGTGAGCTACTTGAATTATACTACAAGGGTTTTTTCCTGCTTTTTTCATGAGATTCAACTTATAACTCATAATGTGTTCCCTATGAGAAAAGTGAAAACCATTTCCTTTTGTTGCTGTTTTCTTTCAGACAATGACTGCAGGGGATGTTGTCTGCACCAGAGTTTATGAGAGGGAATGAGGAAATATTTTCAAGACCGACATGCAATACTCCTGTTTTGTGCCTCATGCATGGTTTACATTTACTCGCCTTGTTTTCTCCTTCATTCTCTCAGCCAGTCTTATGTTGATCTCAAACAGTGCACTGTGTAGAAAAGGCTTCAGTTTACATGAATGTATGTTGGCACAGTAGTTGCTTTTATAACCCCTACAGCTGAACTGTTTCTGTATCTTATATAAACGTCACACATTCCTTTTCTGAAACTGTGTTTAAATCCTTTTCAACATGTTAATAAACTGTTTTATAGATTCCTTTTCAAACACTCGTTCTTTATGTCGCCTCCTCCCATTCCCTTGTCGTCCATCTGCATATCACTTTACATCATTGTCTGCCATTCATACTCTCCAGATAATCCCCACCCTTTCCCCCTCCATCTTTCCATTCCCAGTCCAGTACCTTGTCCTCTGTGTGCTCTTATGTCATCATAGCTCACTACAGTATGTATTCAATTAGACTAAAAACTCCCTTACACAATTTACATTTTGTAAACTTTGCTTTGAGGGACATTTGGCTAAGACCAGAAGGAAACAGGGAGTGGGAAGGAAAATGAGAGTTGGAAAGAGAAAGATGTCATGAGAAAGTTATTTCAAAGCATTCAGAGAGGTTATGCTTTCTATTTTCCCCTCTCCAGCTGTACCTACTTACAGAATGAGCTCAATAAAAAAATCCCCCACTCTTTTTGCTTTGGCTTTGCACTCAGGTACAAAGTGTTACGTGGTTTTCTCTTACACTGTCCAAGAAGATTTCCAGCTGCTCCCTCTCAAAAAAACCTTTTTAACATTATGAATGCAACATATTACGCAAACAGGCTTAAAATGTTTAGAGATATGTAGTATTTAACAGTAGAGTCCTTCAAATCTTTCGTTTACTCAACCAAAACTCAACTGCGTGGTTCAGCATGTGACAGACTTAACCTCAATGTTATGAATGGACCTTCAGGGTTTCTCAGGCACTTCCTGATGAGAGTGCTGTAACCGTTCAATCAAACTGATGGCTTTTTCAGGTGTTTTAAACACTGTGAACTCAAGCGCCTCTCAGAAGTGATTTCCAGTTTATATACAGTTTCAAGCAAGCAGCAGGAGGACTTGGCCTCCTCTTGGATGAATGTTCTCAATAACCTCTCTGGGTACATTTACTCATGAGTACCAACACCAAAGTTCTGTATTTTTATTTTTTTTCAAACTCAAGTATTATCAGCAAAACATGCCTAAAATCACTTGATATTATTTCATTATGAGATTGTCAACACTGCTGCATTGTGCATCCTTGTAGCAAGTTGAGGTTTAGCTGGTTTTAACTACTTTACACACATTAAGGTCAATATATCCAGTGGTTCCAAACCTAGGGGTTGGGCCCCTTAAGGATCACAAGGTAAATCTGAAGGGCCGTAAAATGGTTAATTGTACAGGGTAGGAAAAAAAAGCTCAAAACTACACCAAATTGTTTGATAGTTTGACCTTTTCTCGAATATTTACTATTTTATGCAATATTAAACATATTTTATATTTATTAAGATAAAACCAGTCAGAAGTTGTCTCTGACCAGCTTTTTTTCAAGAGGGTCCGAACTACGGTTATGCTGACCACTGATGATATATGTTTTTATTTGTAAAATCTTAATCTGTAAAATAACTTGTATCGAAAAATGTCAAACAAATGCAGGGGTGTAAACAAGTAACGGAAAACAAAAACGCACAAGTACTGTACAGTACCTCTAAACTGTATTTGAGTTTAGTACTTTCCACTAATTATCTGCAGAGTGTGTCTGCGGATAGAAAGTATGCATGGCTTACACAACTTAATTCATCAAGTACGTGCTTTCATGTCTCCCAGGCAGAAAGTATGTTTTCAATGGCCTCAGTTAAAACCCATGTTATGGTGTAAGAACTTATCAAAACCGCAGCGCTTTAACTGCACTCTAGAGGAGATGGAAAGTTCCTTGCTAAATAAGAAAATTGGCATTGCACACACACACATCCAAACACACAAGATGCATAATTCTGTCTGAATGATCCCTTTGACTTTTGGTTGTTATAGCTAGGAGCGGTCTACAACACCCAGTGCCTCCTTGTTAGCCAGGTCACTTTCCACATACAACCGTTAGCCAGTTCATTCCTCTGGCAGTGACATCATGGAGCCTTTCGTTGCTCCATTGGCTGAAGAATGCTGCGGTTTTAGGACAGGGAGGCTCCTGGAGTCCAACATTTTAATCAGATCCATCTGGACCAATCATGAAATGGCAATTCAAGGAAATGATGAGTCACAGGAGTCAACTGTCAGACCCGGGGCATGAGGACGAATGAAATGTGTGAGCAGGTTCAAGCAGACCTCACAAAAGTTCAGCTTAAGATCATTTCATCACTACTTGACTTCTTAAAAGTAAACATCTGTAATCTTTGGAACCCTTCTTTCAAGTTGTATGTGTGAGGGCTATGCTTTTTTACTTTTAGATGTAACACACAGTATTGAGCAAGATGATTTTCCCAAACTTTAAGCCACCTAAATTAAAGAATACTGAATGCAAAACTGTTATCTTGTGACCCCTTAAGGCGATCCCGACAACAACTGATCTACATTAGATGATATGTTTGTCTAGATCTGTTCATAAATAACAAAGTGGGCCCGAAATGGGGAATGTACAGTATGTGAGAACTGTTTATGTGCGTGACAATCTGACCTATGTGTATGTATAGAAATCATATGACTGCCCCTATGGAAGGCCCTCACCCATGTGACCCCATTACACTTCTAGGAGAAGAAAAGGGAAAGAGACCAGGCTGGATTATGCATTAGGCCATGAAGTGAGTATAAACCATAGGTATAAACTAAAGGTGTAATCCTTTCTACTGCTGCTCAAAAGGTGACTGAAAGGGTCATATATGAGCAGTACAAAGAAAATAACTATAGAAAAGTCCTTTAGGCATGCACCCTTTGTACAAGGAAAGAAAAATCAAATCAATTGCATGAAAATAAGATTTATTGAAGCAACAATGCTTCAAGATTAACTTAAATTACATGTTTAAGTGAATGTGTCAAAATAAAAGGATAAACATTTATTTTTGCTGCACTTGAAAAACACCTACTTACCTGTGGTTTAAAGTCCCTCATTCTTCATGAGAAACACATGGGCTGAGACCAGAGAAGTAGGGGAAATTATTCCTTCAATACACAAGACTGACATCTACTGGAAGAGGAGACAATTATCTTTTTAAAACTGCAAAGCATGAAGTAATTGTTTTAAAGTTGAGTTGTTCCTTCAAATCCTGGCTTATATATAGGCCTACTATATTGTTTGTTTTTGTTTAATTTGGAATTCATTTAAAAAAGGAAATGTACAATTACAAACGTATATTTTATGTAATTAAAGACAAAAAGGAACGTCCTTACCATTGTTTTATATAAATTATACCACAAATTATACATAGCCTAACATGATTGAATCCGTGTAGCCTTTGCCTATCTACCGTCCATTTGTTTTTCTTTATTAAACACGTAAACGGAAGAGCGTTTTTGCTTTTTACCTGGAGCGAGGGGCGGGGCGAAACTCACGGAAGTGATTTCAAAACAAAAGCACTCGTTTGCTAAAATCACACTTTGAATCACTACAGTATCCTGCTGAAGGAACGGTGATTATTATAAACAAGGGGAATTTAGCGATCACAACGAAAACGGCCACGACACATATTGAGCCCAGAAAATGGATGTTATTAAGGGCTGTAAATATAATAAACCTATGTCTAAAATGGACAACATTGTTAGGAGATTTAAACTATACAGCGATTCTGCACTGCGGTCAACTCAGCCGCCTCTCGAGTTTGTTTTTTCAAATCAGCTGCTCTTCATTTGTTTCCTGCTATATTTGACGAGTGATACAAATAGAAGAAAACTGACACTGTTGGACTCGGTACTAGTTTGACTTCTACCAGAAATAAAATGAAGTACTTTTACTGTGTACTTTGTGAGTAATCCTCTTTCAAGTCCCCTCCTTAGTACATAATGCATGTTTTTCTGCTATCTTTGATGAATGATACAGGAAAAAATACTGTTTATTGTGGAATAAATAAATATGTGAGCTATAAAAAGATGATTGTTATATGATTGTTATTAATAAATGTTATTATGCATCGAGAGATCTTTTGGGGATTTTATTCATTAAAATGTATATTTATAAAATTCTGAATATTTTTTGGCAGCACATGCACGGGCCGACCCAAAAGCTCTCACGTGCTTGTCTGCCGCAGCAGCAGTCACATGACCGCCAGACTTGTGCTGGTTACTTCCGGTTCCTCGGCTGTTTTTCTTGCGGGAGAAAGCATCTGCTCTGCTGTGATCCGGATCCTGACAGCCGGGACTAGAGAGGAGACACACACCGGGGAACACAGCGTTCAACTTGTCCGTTACCGTGTTCACCTGTTCCCAAAACTGTGGAGAGATGACCACCGGAGGGGCGGGTAGCTAGTTGATTGGATACACCGACTAACACCGCCCTTCCTCTCGATTAACAAAAGAACCAAGCGCATCTTTTTTATCTGCTGGAAGAGACTCACCGTTAGCAGCGAGCGGTGGCTAATTGACATTAGCTCCCCTTTCCATAACACCAAGCCATCGATATGTCAAAATACACAAGCTTTCCAGAGCCAATGGAGGACCCCAACCCTTTCCAGGTGGGTGAAATGAAATATGAATATAATGTAATATCCTGCCTCGGTGCAGTGTTTTAATTGTGTGATGTGCAGAAGTCCCTGATGTTTCTCTGTCTAATAGCAGGCGTGTTGTTGCTCATGTGACGTGTGTCCCTTTTTGCCTCGGCCTTTCCGCCCTCCTTTCAAGCTTTGCCCACTTGTAGCTCATATTATTAACGATGAACACATCAGTAGAAGTCGCTCAGGTTTGTCGAAGGAGGATTAATGTGCCATTAGGCCAAGTCACATTTATTTATGTGCTAATTAACCCATAAACCATTTGTTTTGATCTTCTAGGACCCTGCAGTGACTCAACACAGCAGCAACACGGGTTATGCCACACTGGATCTTTACAACCCGTTTGATAACACTACTGGGCCTGGGGTGAGTAATATGTCGTATTATCTGTGAGATAATGGGGGATAATTGCTGATAGTGTACTGTATAGATAATATACAACACAACAGCTTCCTTTCGTGTCATGCCAGGCCTTGTCCCGCCTTGTTTTCTTCTGTGAGGGCATAAACTGTATATATAAAGTGTGAAGAGTACATTAGGACAACAAAATGCTATTGCCTTAGCTTTTTAAGCTTTAACCCGTTTTTCCATTATTTTGGTGTTTATTTGATTGTTTTCTATTGATTTTATTGTTTTCCGTCTGATAAAATTAAATGTATTGTTCAGGTTTGATGTAAAGCAAATGTGCTATATAAACAGAAAACATATATATAATGTTGACAATCATCATCAAACACATCTTCATTCAGTTAATTTCAGATTTGTGACAAAAAAATTGAGAAACAGAAACTGGCTCCACATTTACTTCAAGGTAATGTGCAAGTTAAATTAAATGATGCCACATTTAGCAGCAAGATGAAGAAAGGCAATTAGTTAATCCGAATGAATTGCAATTTATTAAATCTTCAATCCCATTCTTATACTTTTTCTATTCAGATGTCTAATATGTTTACTGTGTCTATCGGCATGCTTTCAG